ATGACACCCTAGGCCGGAGGTCGATGATCAACTTTGTGGTTGTTTCATCTGACCTCTGGCTGTATGTCTTGGACACTCGGGTGAAGAGGGGGCGGAGCTGTCAACTGATCACCACCTGGTTGTTAGTTGGATCTGATGGCGGGGGAGGAAGCTGGACAGACTTGGCATACCCAAATGTACTGTGAGGGTCTATTGGGAACATTTGGCAGAACCCCCTGTCGGGAATATCTTTATCTCCCACCTCCGGCAGAGCTTCGACTAGATCTCGAGGGAGGTTAGAGACATTGAGTCCGAATGGACCATGTTCCACCTGGCCGTTCGGAGCTGTGGCTGTAAGGTCTCCGATGCCTGCCGCGGTGGCAATCCCCAAACCCGGTGGTGGACACTGGAAGTAAGGGATGCTGTCAAGCTGAAGAAGGAGACCTTTTGATCCTGGTTGTCTCATGGGACCCCTGAGGCAGCTGACAGGTACCGGCAAGCCAAGCGGACTGCAGCCCAGGTGGTTGTGGAGGCAACAACTCGGATCTGGGAAGAGTTCAGTGAGGCCATGGAGAGGGACTATCGGTCGGCCTCGAAGGAATTCTGGCAAACCATCCAGCACCTCAGGAGGGGGAAGCAGTGCCCTGCCAAAACTGTTTACAGTGGAGGTGGGCAGCTGTTGACCTTGACTGCGGATATCGTCGGACGGTGGAAGGAAAATACTTTGAGAATCTCCTCAACCCCAGCATCACGTTTTCTGATGAGGAAGCAGAGGCCAGGGGCTCGGAGGTGGACTCGTCCATCACCCAAGCTGAAGTCACCGAGGTATTTGAAAAGCTTCTCGGTGGCAAGGCACCGGGGCTGGATGAGATCCGTCCTGAGTACCTTAAGTCTCTGGGTAGAGTAGAACGCCCTGTGTAGAGTAGAACCGCTGCTCCTCCACATCAAGAGGAGCCAGCTGTGGTGGCTCGGGCATCTGTTTCGGATGCCTCCTGGGCACCTTCCTGGGGAGGTGTTCTGGGCATGTCCCACCGGAAGGAGGCCCCAGGGAAGATCTAGGACATGCTGGAGGGACTATGTCTCTTGGCTGGCCTGGGAACCCCTCGCATTCCCCCGGATAAGCTGGAGGAAGTGTCCGGAGAGAGGGAAGTCTGGGCATCTCTGCTTAGACTGCTGCCCCCGTGACCCAGCTTCGGATAAGCGGAAGAGGATGGATGGATGGATGAATGTATGTACTTCCGTGCATGAGTGACATCAAACCAAAGGCTTATCCGGATGCACCCACTAGTTACTGCTAATTGTCAGAGCTTGCTACTCAGAGTTTGCAACCTCAATTCTGTGATTATATGAGTGTGCTGTAAAAATGCATTTATACAGGTTTTGATGGTCATCCTACGAATGATACATGGAGTCTGTTTGTGTGTGTGTGTCTGTGTGTGTGCTGCTTGGAATAGTCAGGCCATGTGATTCCTCCAGTTTCTATTTCAGCACGGTGACCATCAAACACTCTACAGTCATCCAGAAAAGTAGTTAATGAATGCGTTGTTTAATCTGTCCATCTGTCATCGTTCTTTCAAACTTTCCGTTCAGATCAGCAGGTGAAGCGTATCTGGAGGTGGTTTCAAGTAAGGCGGTTTCATATATTTTCTAATTCTGCCATGTGCGAATGGGTTATTGCCATTTTGACATGGCTCTGCTACACTGATATTGCATGCAACATTAACAATGTGCATTTCAATATGCATCCCGTGTCATGCACAGGAAGTTGTTTTGAAATATCACATTCATATAGGCTTCTTTCTTCTGTGTACATGCATAAATGTGTGTGTTAGTTCCTGTATGTATTTCATGATTATGGTCAGCTAGTGGTTTTACTCTAAGCGTTTATTAACGAACTTTCTGGATTCTGGAGTAATTTGAAACATAAGCCATTTAATAATCAGCTACTTATTTATGTGCTCAGACTAATAGTATAAGCATAATATAAGAGAACTTGCTGCTTATTTGAGTAACAGCTGTTTATATTAGTTTTTTGGTCACAGGTGTACCTGCTGTGATGTCTACATATCATAACAACAATTATATTATATATAAGCTTTGTTTAATGTGTAATATAATGTATTTGAGTGCAGTAATCTCCAATTGTACTGTCACAATATACCATATCTGATATCTAACAAAACAAATTAAAAACATAACTGCACTAACAAGTTTGTGATGTATGCATTTATATGAGGTGTGTATTAAAAAGTACATAATAATGTTGTAGACCTACTGGAAGTCATTCCCTTAGCTCACCCTTTCCATGAGGTGAGATATGACTGTCCACATGACTTTTCTAGGTTTATGTCCTCAGTTGATTCTGGAGAGCTATAGAAATGGATCAGTTACGCTGCTGTATGCCACTCACTCAGCTCCCAGTCCTTCTTCCGTGGCGTACACTACAGTACCCATGTCAGACCATCATAATTTACATTGCTGCATTGTTAATATGACCTCCCATCCCCACCCCCACCCCATTTCCTCTTTCCATTTTTCCAACTGGCCTTCATATTTTTTCCAATCCAAATAAGATGCTCAGTATGTGAGCTCAGCACTGGGGAATGTGCACGATATGTTGGATAGACTACTGACCGGAGAATAGTCTCAGCAGCTACAAGTCTTAAATCCTTCTCTGGCTCTAGACAATATCAGACTGTTGCTGCTCATTCTTTTCCCAGTTTTTGTCAAGTATGGTTAAGTCGAAAAAGTAAAAGCTACTAAAATCAAATATGTTCCAGGCAATTAGAAGAATAGATTTATTGTCAGTATATGATGAACATACAATGAAATTGCAATGCTCTTTCTATGGTGCAAAAATAGCATTCACCATTGAATAAATAAACATTTAAAAGGTGCCCAATCCTAATAATAATGGACCAGCTAACCAATAATAAAATAAAGTCAGATCCAAGAAATAAAGCACATGAAACTGAATAGAAGCTTAACTGTATTCATCCACACATGTTTGTATTGTAGTTAATTCCGCTGGACAACAGCCTGGGGGTAAAACGTATTTGTATGTGTGAGTTTTTATTGAGCTGTATCGTCTATTTTTCTGTTGACTTTGGCTCATTGGGTATTTTATTTAATTTCTATTAATTGTATTTACTTTGAGCACATAAAATAGTGATGGCTTGTCTGTATTTGAACTGTATCTTTAAGCAGTGATAAATCAAAAGTTCTGTTAAGTTTTGTTTCTTCTGCTATGAGTAGGTGTAACATGATGTGATGAGCCTCCAGAGCACGTATGAGGACAGTGTTTCTCTGTCATTAGTTATCATTCTCTTTGTGGTGAACACTGTTCATGGGCTTTGCCTTCTCTCCTGAGAGTTTCATTGTTTTATATAACATATTTCAGCAACAAATCCAGTAATAAGATTGATTATCCCTACAGGACTCTAGTTTTTTGGCTAGCAGTCCCTTGTTTTGAATTTGGGTTCTATTATGTTACACCTGAGAAAATAGTGTTCTACTTACAACTTTGTGAAGAACAAGTGAACCCCTTTACCTGCTCTGTAACCACTGTGTGACTAGTGTTACTAGATATGATTGCAAATGTTACTTCTGTATATTTTCACACAGACACATGATGTGCTATTGTACCAGTGGATCAACCATCGCTTGGACTACTTTTAGTATATATTTGTGATCAATAATCTTGAGTACACCAGTCAAAGCTGGCTCAGGCCCAGCTAATTCAGAGGCTGGTAATTGTTTTTACATGATGTGCACAGATTCGTGAGAAATGTTTGATTTCATTTATGTCCTTCATCTGTTCTGTCCCTTGGTTCTCATTAAGGTGTGTGTGACCTCTCTTTGGTGACCTCTGGATCCCCTCCCTTCCTTGAGGCCATATTGTGACACATGGCGCTGAAGAAGCTTATGCGTTTCGGAAAGCAGTTGCTGAGGGTAAAGGTGGTGAACTGTAACACAGAGGATTCCCGTCTATCTCGTTGTCTCAACACTTTTGACCTGGTGGCCCTGGGCGTGGGCAGCACACTAGGTGCTGGCGTTTACGTGTTAGCTGGTGCGGTTGCAAAAGAGAATTCAGGTAAGATACAGTAACTGTAAACAATGAAAAGGTGTCTTATGATAAATCTTAAAGCTTCTAAATGTGTGATCCCTCTTGTCTCCCCCCCAGGTCCTGCTATTGTGCTGTCTTTCCTGATAGCAGCCTTAGCTTCAGTGTTGGCTGGTCTGTGCTATGCTGAGTTTGGTGCTCGTGTTCCCAAAACAGGCTCAGCTTATCTTTACTCCTATGTGACTGTAGGGGAGCTGTGGGCCTTTATCACTGGATGGAACCTCATCCTCTCCTATATTATTGGTAGATATGAAGCAACACTGCATTTCCCACTATGTAGCTTTCTTTTTATTAAGTTTTAGTTGAGGCAAGTCAGGAAAGGAAAATAAAGCTCAGTGGCATAATAGTCAAGTGATCTGTGGATCTGTGTCAGCTGATCTCTTTTTATCTCAGGTACTTCCAGTGTGGCCCGTGCATGGAGTGCAACCTTTGATGAGTTGATAGGAAAGCACATAGAGCACTTCTGCAGAGAATACATGTCTATGAATGCACCTGGTGTGCTGGCAGAGTATCCTGACATGTTTGCTGTTATCATCATAATCACACTTACAGGTGGGAAATTCTTTGTCCAATCTTGTGTTAACACTTTTGCCGTACTGAGCATAATTTTATCTTTACTAGTAAGCAGCGATGCTGGGCAGGTTAGCTGGGAACTTTATTCATGTAACTACATGACTTTATTATTGTGTTACATAACTCATTACTTTATTTTTATTTCTTAGCTGTCAGTTTGGCTAGTAGATGACCTGAAACTACCTGTGTGACACATCATAAACTTGGATTAGTTTAATATTATTACTGTTTTGGATACTGTAATCCCTTACAATACTTGTTACTGAAAAAATAAAACTGTAACATGTTACAAAGTAATGCATTACTGCCCACCACACGTGAGCAGCATTTCACCCCTTGAACTTTCCCTCCACATCTCTTCATCCAAACAGTTGTTTATAGTGTTTTTCTTTTCTGTGTCCTCTTCATTTGTAAGGTCTGCTGGTAACTGGGGTCAAAGAGTCAGCAATGGTGAACAAGGTTTTTACATGTGTCAACATCCTAGTCTTGTTGTTCATGGTGATCTCTGGCCTGGTCAAAGGCACTCTGAAGAACTGGCAGATAGACCCTGAAGAGATCCTACATGCCAATTATACCAGCAACTCCAGTGTCAAGTAAGGGTGTGGTCAGTGGTCATAAAATTCTTTCATATGTCCATGTGGCTCTAAAACTCCTTTGTTATATTTGACACTTTATTTTTCAGTTTAAAGTGTCTCAGTTACTCTAGATGAACCACAGACCCATTGAAACAGCAACTTTATTTAATACACTTCATCATCTTTTTGCCAGTTATAATTATTCTTTTCTTCTCCTGTTCAGTTTGACAGACATTGTCCCAACTAGAGAAAGTTTAGGAGTGGGTGGCTTCATGCCGTTTGGCTTCACAGGCGTCCTGTCTGGAGCTGCTACCTGTTTCTACGCTTTTGTCGGGTTTGACTGCATTGCCACCACAGGTCAGTGCTGGATGAAACCAGAAAATACTCACCCTGTTGAACCTGTTCTCTTCTTGTTTCAAATCTCATATTCCTTTGACTGCCTTGTGGGTAGGTTTCAGTTTTGGGGAGGGGGAGGTGTAACTGGACTCAGAGTTGGGACCATTTCAGTCTTGTCTAAACATCCAGGTGTGTTGCCAAGCACTGTGGCACAGGTCAGATATATAAATTATAATATGAGGTCTGGGGAGAAGATGTTACCCATGTCTTTTTGTGCAGATCTACACCTGTGAATATGTGTGTCGTCATTCACGTTTTGTTTAATTGCTTCAAGGCCTCTGGGTTGTTAAAAAGTGTTAACAATTATTTTTGCCCTCTGGCTTTTCCAACTACATTTTTTCCTGAATTCTAACCAGTAGAGTGAAGTTTACCCTGAATGTTTGCTTCAGTTTGGCTTTCAGGGACATTTATGTGTGTTCTTGTGACTTATAGCTAAGTTGGCATGAAGCCATTATCCCCTCCCTCCTCCACACACAGAAGTATGCACACATGGTCACACATAAATTCACACATCTGTTAGTGCTGTTATGCTTATGAACCCTGACCTTCCAGTAATCTGGGCCAATCAGGAGCTGTCCTGGAGACGATCCAAATAGTGTTATTCATACTCCATCAGCAGAACAAGACCTGAGTGGTCTGCTTACGAAGGGGGTTACATAATCACCTACAGTATGTCTGAATAGTTGGGGGTTCGAGCTTTGTTGGTGCACAGTGAAAATACGCTCCTTGTTCATTTTGTTACAAAATACTTCACAGAATGTTTCTCAAATACATCTGTTTGCCAGGTTTTCCACATGTACTGGAATTCTGCCAATACAATCATAAAGGAATGAATGTTGCCAGAATCTACTCAAGCCTTGAATTAGTGTAGTCAGTTACTAAAAACACTGGTATCACAACTAATGGAGGGATGTTAGGCCAAAATAATGTGACATAAATTACTATTTAAAAAAAATAAATGTATTCATTTTCTATAATAGACTTGACCATGTCTGTTCACCCTCTATGCCCCAGGTGAAGAGGTGAAGAACCCCCAGAGGGCCATCCCTATCGGCATTGTATCCTCTCTGCTCATCTGCTTCACGGCATACTTCTGTGTTTCTGCTGCTCTCACCCTCATGATGCCATACTACCTGCTGGACAGCAAAAGCGCCCTACCTGTAGCTTTTAAATATGTGGGCTGGGAAGGAGCCAAATACGCTGTAGCTGTAGGCTCTCTGTGTGCTCTGTCTACTAGGTAAGCTGTTATAGTACACATACTTGCACTCCTATGCCATTCTTTCAGTGCATGCTCATGTATGTGCAGACACACATATTTGGATATTTGTGTGTGTGTGTGTGCGACCATATGAGTGTATATTTCACTTCAGAAGACATTTGTTCCCTCTACTAAGATTACTGCTAAGAATATGCTGTGCCATTCGTGTAGTTTAGTTTTGTAACATAGACTCATATTACCTAAAGGTCACACCAAGCTGTATTTTTACTCATAATCAGTTTTTAATTGCTTTATAATGGTGATAATATTGTACATGCATACTGCATTTTGCACCTACCGTGAATGACTGTTGCTTTAGTAAATAATTATGATTGTGAATTATATACATTCTTAATTTAAAATGTGTGCATAGTATTTTTAAGCTCAGGTTGATGGGTGTTAAATGTATTGTTGTGTAAATGTGTATGTGTGTATGTGTGCTGTTTGAAGCTCCACCAGAGACACACCGTCTCTGTTCATGTTTGTTTCACTGCATTCTTGTGGGTATAAGTGTGGATACTGTTTACTGTATCCTGCTCTTCCCCCGATAGCCTGCTGGGTGCTATGTTCCCTATACCCCGTGTGCTCTGGGCTATGGCCAGTGATGGGCTGCTTTTCAAGTTCATGGCTGAGATCAGTCCCCGCACCAAAATCCCGCTCAATGCAACCCTCACCTCTGGCATAGGGGCAGGTGAGCCACTAACACGCATGTTTTAAAACTGCATCTGTGTTAACTGAGGCTTCTTTTTGTGCTGCAAGGCTGAACTGTCAGGTTGCAAATGCTCTAGCCTGCCAGTTTCAAATTCTACTCTAAATAATAAAATATGCCATAAATCAGCACTCAAGCATGAAAAGGCCACCCCTAACAGTAATCCTGTCTTACATGGCCAGGTCTGTGGTCGTGTATCTTCACTGTGCCTCTACTTTGTCATTCTTCTAACATTGGTCTGTTTTACAATGAACCTTAGGAAACTTCAGTGGTATGAGGAAGACTATAAATAGTAAACTAAACAGCATGATAAAGTAACAGAGAGAGAGAAACAGCATGTTACATGCATCCTTGGACCAACATCATGCCCTTGCTGCTCTACAGTACAGCCAGTCTGGTATCCTGCTACACGTTGTGCCACCTTGCCAACCAGATTTATCTCCTCTTGCTACTTCTTCCTCTTTCTCATCCACTTACCTCTTTCAATTTTTCCTTTCTCCTTGTTCCTCTACCCTACATCTACAACTGTCATCCCAATCTTATTTTCCTCCCCACACTACTCCAGTCTGTTGGGTTCCATGTTCCCCCTACCCCGTATCATCTTTGCCATGGCTCGGGATGGCCTGCTCTTCTCCTTCCTGGCCCACATCAGCAGGAGGAAAGCCCCAGTAACGGCCACTGTGACCGCTGGGGTTATATCTGGTAAGATGAATAGGGAATGTAAACTCAGGAGGGACAATGAGTCTTGTATCTGTGAAGAGGAATAAAGGAGGGAGTGAGATTAAGAGCAGGAAAGATACATTAAAGAAAATCAAGAGCAAGAAAAGCCAGCATAATCATCTTTGACCTGGCAGCAGTCATTACTGGGTGGTAATTAGGGGCGCGAACTTCAGCAGAGAGGCTTAATCACTGATTGTGACCATTTAAGCATCTATTTTTCAAATTGTCATTATTTTTATTCATTATTTCTGATATCTTGATTGTATATTGCTGTCTATGTAAGGCTAAAAGATAAATGTAATTTTCTTTGTATTATGTGGGGTTGTTTTAGTTACATACAGGCAACATGACCTCGGATATGCTTTGACGTATATTTTAAGCTCACAGGTTTTGTAAAAATAATGGTATGACGCAACAGGAAAGTGGACACAAATGGAAACAAACAGCAGGCAGGCAGTTTCAGTGAAATGACTTTTACTAACGACAAAGGGGGCCGAGGCTCACAGGAAGGCAGGTAGCTGAAATAGGTCAGACAAAAAGATGTTAATTTCAACTTTTAGTCCTTTGGGTTACATGGTGGTATATTCTCACATTTATCTTTGGACAGAAGATCACATTTTAACATGTTAGTTACTTATCATGCTAACCTTTGTTAATTAGCGCTAAACACATGGTGTCTCCCATTTGAAGACTGTAAGTTTAAAACCTGGCTCTATGTATGTTTTTTTTTTTTTTGTGACGTTTTGTCGGAAGACTAGCACTAATGTAATCTGATCTTTTAGAACTTTTGGAGCTGGACATCCAGACTTCTTTTTTAAAAAATTGTATCAAGTGAATGTCACTTTACTGGCAGTTAAATTTGGCTGTAAGAAGAAAAGAAAGCTCATATCAAAAATGTTTTTGCTTAAATTTGGTAGGGCATTTTTGCTGTGTGTCTGTGAGCTGTGCCACAGCATGTGTACCAGTTTGTTTTATGACACTGCAAACAAAAAATCTTGAATCCTGCTGGCAATGCTAGCAGCTCTGTGAGGTTGTACTGTACAGTGGTTCTCTGAGCTAAATGTTATTGTCACAATGCTAACATGCTGATCGTTTCACAAATGTATACGGTTTTCACCAGCTTAGTTTAGCGTATTAACTACATAGGTTTTTTTTTAAAAAGACCACAGAAATGTTTAGGAAAAATCAGAGGATCATCTTAAGAAACATTACCCCAGAATGTTCTTAGGTTTAAACAAATATTTTCATCTTTCTCTCTTTTTTTCTCTTGCTCTTTGAAGCAATCATGGCTTTTCTGTTTGACCTGAAGGACCTGGTGGACCTGATGTCAATAGGGACGCTTCTGGCCTATACATTAGTGGCTGCCTGTGTTCTCGTGCTCAGGTCAGCGGGGAGACATAAGTATATAGAGCCTAACCAGGGACACTGGGTTTAAACCTGTCCATGTTGTCAAATGTCCATGTATGAATGTGATCTTAAATCTTACTGTCAATCAATGTAATTTCCATGATGAGGCTGGTCCAGCATGAGGCTAAAACACTTTACTGAAAAATTGTCTCCTCCCTGGTGTGACATGTTTATATTGCTTTTTAGCAATATAAACGTGAAATCCAGCCCTGCATTCATCGTTGAAAACAATTTTATACTCTGTTAATTTTATACTACCAGACAAATCATGACTGAGTGAACATGCTGCTGCTGAAAACTTGGCTGCAGCTGACATTACATTATGCCTGGCACATGGGGAAGTTCACTGTCCTCTAGTGTTACAATGTGTCCTACTTATCACTTTATTACCACTGGGACAGGCAACTGTGTGTTTTTAGGGATGTAAATACAGTGAAGTTGTAATGGTTAATTAGTGTGTGTGTTTGGTTGTGCCAGGTACCAGCCGGAGCATCCCAGTATGGTATATGAGATGGCCAGTACCCAGGAGGAGGTAGAGGATGGCATCAGTATCCCCACTGTGGGCATCCTGCCCGGTGTAGAGGAAAGGTTTAGTTTCAAGACCCTGCTATTCCCACACAACACTGAGCCATCTACACTGTCAGGCTCAACTGTCAAGATCTCTGCCTGTGCACTGGGTGCGTGATCATACCACACTTATTTACAGTAAGAAAGTTGTAAGATTTAATATGTTAGAGCGTCAGTAAGGAAGATGATGAGAGTCTGGCACAGAGTTGTACATGAAATATTATAGAACATTCTTATACTTCCGCAGGAATGTTGGTCTTGACGTTCAGCGTGTTGGCAGTACACGGAGGTGCTGCGATGTGGAACATCGTAGCCCTTGGCGTCATCTTTATGGTGTGTCTCCTTTTCACTTTTATTGTCTGGAGACAGCCTGAGAGCAAGACGAAACTCTCTTTCAAGGTTTGATTCCAGAAACTCACTCTCCATGTGTAGAATAGCATGCATAAATGTAGTAGGTTTTGGATCTTTTTCAACATATACACTGTGTGCACAATTATTAGGCAAGTGAGTATTTTGACCATATCATCATTTTATCCATAATTTCCAACTCCAAGCAGTATAAACTTGAACGCTTATTGGACTTAATGCATATCAGGTGATGTGTT